CAAAAATTATTATACTGTTATATCATTAATCTTTGTCGTCATAACAACTTTTAAAATGATCTTCGCGACAACCTCACGAAGTAAGTGTAATAAGAGAACTAATCAGCGTCGCGGAAAAGCGTCAACAATATTTCCGGAAATGCGAGTATCTCTTTGCATGCCTTTTTTTCAGAAAAGATTTTTTTTCTGAACACAACATGAGTTGTTCAGTAGCTGTTACGTAACAAACATTTAATGCCAACTTATTAATAAATTATCATTTTTTTTTTAACAATTCCTAGTTAATAATGTTCAGTCTAACTTGGTCAGAGATTAGCAGCATGAAACGAGAAGCTGAATCTTAATTGTTTGGATTATTTAGATATTAGATTGACCTTGATGATTATTTTTTCTCTCATAACATTTACCAGTCTTCGTAGTCTAGATGTATGGTAATTACATGTATAGTAATAATGATTCGATTTGAATTGACGATTATATAATGGTTGAATTTTAGATTTTAGATGTGGTTCTTGTAAGAAATAAGAAGATCGGTTTGAAATGCAAATTTAAGTGAAAAATTGTTTCTTGCAAATTTTATATTTTTGCTGTAACTTCTAAATAAAGTATTTAATGATCTATATTCATACAATATTTTTTTCTTATTTTATCTTATAGAACATACTGTTAAAGTTTAGGATACGGAAAATTTGGGCACCTTGTAGATATTTTTTCGCTTTTAACATAACCTGACAACAAAACAGTAGTGACGAGTAGTGACGAGTGAACAAAAGACAAACAGTTTGGAGTACATTTAATAATAAAAGATACATAAAAAAATTGCTCGTATATGATAGAGATATATACATTTTATCTCATCGCGCGCTTGCAATTTTCATAAATTAATAACTTGTTAACTATTGCGAAAATCGCAAAATAGTACAGAACTTTTCGACTCAGTTTAGTCTACTCTACCTGCATATGACCATTTATGCTTGGCCATTTTTTAGAGGATACCCTGTATATATATCTCTATATACATATATTGAAAATATTCTTGTTGTCAGATATAAAATATAATTTGGTAAATAAGATAATAATAAATACTTTATAAACTAGATATATTTTAAGATATATAAAATTTACTTATATATTAAAATATAACTTATATGTTATGTATATAGTTATTATATATTTTCAAATATATTTAAAATTACATGTATTTTTCAAACATTTTAGGAATTAAAAAATAAAATAGTGTCTTACATTAAGAAAATAACTGTATTATTTTAAAAAATACAATTTCAGGAAGATTGTATGATATTAAGAAATTTTTCAAATCATTTAAATTCATTTCTTCTTATTTAATAAAAATTATATAGTTCTAAATGAAGTCGATGGCGTATGATTGATTGGAATGCATCGTAATCGAATAGGATGTACAGGACGATTTATAATATCCAATTTCAAACGAACATCCTTTAAATAATCTATAGGTTCCAAATAAAAATTGTATATCAATGGCGCTATTATAGCTTTCATTTCCAACATAGCGAATCGTTGACCTGTTATTTATAAATATATTAGTATTTATTTATATAACTTTAAAATTAATATCTTTTATATTACCTATACAATTTCGTAGTCCTGCACTAAATGGTATATAGGAATAAGAATGACGATTTTGGATTTTCTCAGGCAAAAATCTATCTGGATCGAATATTTCTGGATTTGGCCAGAAATTGGGATCTCTATGAGTGCTGTAGATATTAAGAAATAATGTTGTTCCAGAAGGCACCAAATATGACTCTGAAAATAATGTATATGTATTTTGATAAATAATTTGTATATAATATTTATATATAAATGTAATATGTTATATATGTTATATATGTATATGTACACACACACACATACACACGCGCGCGCGCGCGCGCGCAAGCACGCACGCACGAAACAAAAGATAATTTCTAAACAGTAATAAAATGTGTGGAAAGTAAATGTATATGCTTATAAATCATTTTATTTAAGTACAATTTTTTTACATTTAGGTTATTAATTTTGTTGAGAAATTTGATACATAATTAGCGAAATTGATTAAAAATATTAAATATGGCAATTAGAAATTAGATTTAAAACATTTCTAATTAAGAAATGATAGAAATAGAGTTTGGTATAATTTAATTACTAAAATATTCAGCAAAATTAATGCTTATATATTAATGCTTTTATAAAATATTTTTTTCTTACTGTCCTATATCTACAATATTTATTTATTTAATTACTCACGTAGCTTTACATCTTCTGATGAGACTCGCATCATGTAAGGAACACTAGGATATAATCTCAATGATTCCTTCAAACATCTTTCCAAATAAGACATATTATTTAATGCCGACATGGAAAGTTTTCCATCATTTGCTTGCATGATGGCATTAACTTCCTTTCTGACACATTCCTGTCATGAAACAAAGTTTTCTTTAATGGTTTTTGTGTGATTGTTAATTAAACTAAAGTGCTACATCACTTGCATATAAGGTAATTTTTTCTAAATAAAAACAAAAAGATGTTTCTGTATTTTAAATTAATACTTTTTCATCTATTACAGATTATTTAATAAAAATAAAACATCAAAGTTAATTTATTTTTTTAATATATTAATTAATAGTATGATTCATATCATTTACTGATTAAAGTTATTGTACTAAATACCTGGATATCTTTATGTTCAGCTAGTAACAATATCGCAAAAGTTAGAGCCATCGCTACAGTATCATGTCCCTGTTATGTAAAAAACTTTTTTTAAATTTATTTTCTTATTTTACGCAAATTATATATAATCCATTCAAATCAGTAAATTATAAAATATTTTCTTTTATTTTTTTTATTTGATAAAATTATTTACAATTACATGCTCCTTTGTAATAAAATAGACAATGTCACAATATCTTCCCCCTCTTTCTCCTTTATATCTGTTCTTTTCTTAATTTCTATACAATATCAAGAAAATATAAATATTTACTTCAAATATGAATGTATCGACTTCCTCTCTAATGTCTCTATCACTCATTTCATTAGTGCGAGCCTCCAATATAAGAAGATCCAACATAGCAAGTCGTTTTTTCTTCACTTAACGGATAAATAATTTGTGAATAATATTATTAATTAAAATAATTTATGAATAATATTATTAATTTGATAAAAAAAATATTTCACATTCTATGTATACATACTTCCTGTCATCTCCTTATCATCTTCTTCAATTTCATTTATACTGTTTGCAAAGTTTTTTAAATATCGTCCATCAGTGCATTCATGATATTGTTTTCTTTTTGCAATAACCTAAGAAAAAGATATATTTTATTATTTTAATAAACTATCTGCTATAATACTACTATAGGATATAGAACAGATTGTCAATAAATTATACTGTATTCAGTTGATTATATTAAACTTATTAACTATTATAATCTCATTTAAGGAAAGATGTTCACAAATTTAAATAAAACAATAGAGCTCACTTACTTTTTCAGTAAATGCATGCAATATTTTCAAACATTTAATTTGCCTTCTACCTATTGACGTTAAATTAAATATTATATCGAAAATTAACCATGGATTTAGGAATCTGTAAGTTAATATATAACATATTATAATTTAATAAATAATTTATTTTTTATGAAATATATTTTTTATAGCTTTATATGTAATTTTCGCAGTATCTTAACAATCTTAACAACTGTACTTTTACAGTTTTATTTTCTCTTTTTGATATAAAAATAATTTGATATAACATATAATTGATAATTATAATAATTCGAGTTAGCGAAATTAACGTTAGTGTGCACGTCGGATGAGCACGGTATGTTATTTTTGTAATACACTGAGGATGACTCAAACCAGAGTCGAAACATATGTTATATATTTTTAAGTTGTAATAAAGAATGTCAATTGCGCACCGTAAACAGCGCTGATTCTCATTTGTTCTTTTACTGCATCATAACAAATAATTGATATTATAAATAAATTATATTTGTAACTATGTAATATAAAAAAATTCAAAATTCAAAAATTCAAAAATTAATTATTATTTATATATGAATTACCTATACATCATAATTTCTCCCATTTCGTGAATTGCTTGGCGATATTGCGCTTGGAATTCGTCCATTTCATGTAATGATGTGCCCATCGCAGTTTCTAAGTACATGTATCAACATTATTTAGTATATAATTCCCTCATTTGATGTTATTATTGATTTTAATAATGTGAACATTATAAAATGAAAAACAGCTTTGATTAAAACTCATATCTTCAATCTTTCTTTTAAATTGAA